GCCTAGGTGGTTCCAGAAGATCTTGATAATCTATATTTTTAGTAAAAATGTAATCACAGTGATTAAAAAACTAGAAAATATTGGTGCATAACAAAAATGTAAAGATGGTAACATAATAAAACATCTCAATTATCACTTAATCAACTAACAAACATATGCAGGAATCATGGTTATTAGATTCAACTTCACAATACTACTTACATTGTAGAGTCATAATAACAATAATTCAATTATCAATTACTTCCCTTACTTGAAGAATGAATTATGCAAATACATATGCTGTAAAGTTTCACTACATAAAAAAAAAAAACACAGCAAGGAATATATGACACCTTAAGTTCAGAAAAGTAGACACAGACAGACTTTATACTGAATGTGCAAGAGTTTAAATGGAAGTTAGAAGAATAAATAACCAGACTGATTTTGTGAACAAATTCATAAAGTGAGTAAGTTATAAGATATATTATGATATCTCTCTCTCTCATCCTTGAACTCTATTGAGGGCATTAATCTAGCAAGGTTATTTTTTCAACAGTACCACTTCAATAACTGTCCTCCTTACTTTTAGGCACAATCTTAAAGTGACAGCAAGTGAGGTTTCAGTGAGTAGACACTTCAAAGTTATATCCCTAGAAGATCATGATAATGTTAAGAACATGTCATGAATAATAAGTTTAATAATAATAGTCTTTTAAAAGATCATATAGCATATTTCAAAGATTAAGCCAGTTTTACTGAGGTACTGGATATAAAGGCCTTACAAACACAAATTTTTCATGTTTTCCAAATGAGTGCACATGAAAATATCCTGAGACAGCCATGTCAAAAGATATGAATATTTTGTCAACAGAGTGAACAGGAGCAGCCCTGAATACCTCTTAGCCCATGATATTCAGTGTGTAATACACAAAGCCTGAGGTGCCTGGAATTGTGTCTTGCAACTGAGGCTCCTCAAAAAATCTAAATGAACTAACAAATATGTCAAGAACCCATTAATAAATTCCTTTTTTTTTCCCCAAACCTGGTAATTTTTGTATTGAAAATGGAAGGCAGCTTACAGAAACAGGGTCTAGCCTACTCATAAGTGATGTTTTTGTGTTGGATGAACAGAAGTAGAATAAATTCAAATTCAAATTATCCTGTAAATCTGGAACTACTTTTCTACATCTGGATGCAAATGGAAAAGTCAAGTACTGTCAATCAAATAAATGACATGATATAAATGCTTAATTCCTATTATTATATGACTCCTATGGATTCCATAATTGAAAATACAAACCATAGAGGAAGGATGTCAGGAGCCAAGGAATCTGCACTACAGTATTGATTCACTCTATCACCTAAAATCCACCATTTTTTTGAATTCCATATTCACTGAAATAGACAAAATGCTATTATGACACTTAAATGCTGACCAAGTATCAAAATTTAACAAGCACATTAGTAATAATGCCCAAAGTTCAAAAAGCAAACTTAAATTCCATATTAAAATTTGTGCATGCACATGCACACACTTCACATATAAATATTCTGAATTAAAAACTGCAAAACACATAATTAGGCCAAGTAAATTTGGGGATCAGTTGTAAATCATTGTCAAAAAATAGCACAATTTAAGCACAATTAAATGTCTTAATCCAATAAGCAACTGCTTACAAAATAGATTGAGTAAATCTCAAGAGAAAGAAAAATAATCCATGGAAAGTAAATTTTATTAATTGCAACTAAGCCCTATAATATATCCAGCAATATTCTGGATAACTATTAAAATGCTAACATACTTCTGTTCCATGAAACCAAATCTGTATCACAGATATGATGCCATTTGTAGCAAAAATCATGACAAATAGACTGGCCTATGTTTTTCTTGTAATATATTAGAAAACAGAGATTTCTACATTTCTACTTAACATAGTCAAGTGGAATACATTTAGAAGCTCATGAATAGGGTCAAGATTAACAGCAGCTTTAATCTTTAAGGTTTTTTTTTTGGAACTTATGTTTGAGTGACAAAATAACATCTATTGAAAGGATGTATATTTTAATGATCTCAATATGAATGTCAGGATTGCATTCTGTAATGAGGAATAAAGTAATTAATCAATGTCACTGAAACTGCACTTCTTACACTGTTTATTCTAAAAGTAACTTCTAGGTTATGATAGAACACTGTCCTAATAGTTGCAGCCTATTTTGATGCTATAATTTTTTTTAAGATTATGGGGTCATTTAAAAAAAAATAAAAATTAACATGAATGGCAAAATACCTATTATCTAGTAATTGAATCTATTTGAATTGCTTTGAAAATCAAAGTGCTCTTTCCCTGAATGGTTTCATAGAATAAGTTATTCTTTCCTGAAATAAGAAAAAAAGAAACTAAGATTTTATTAAAATCCTTTAAACTTATTGCATATTTCAAAAATATAATGATGTTTTAGAAGGCAAAAGTAAAATATATGAAAATCAAATTGAAAATAAAGTAGGAAGGATACCAATTTTTTCTCCATCAAACTAGGATTGAATACACAATAAATATAAGTCATTTTATCTATTAATTTAACAACAAATAATTTTAAAAGAACTGTAAAATAACAATGAAATTCTTACTTGAAAATTTTCAAAATGTGGTATATATATTGTTTAAGATAATATTTGTTTTTCTTATTAATGTTGATAATTCTTAGAAGTTTTAGATTGAGTTCTCTATTTTTAGCTGATACTAAGTTGTAGTTCATAGGAATTCCTCACAGGATATATGTACTTTGAAGAAAAAATTTTGGTAAGTAAGACAGCTTTTTAAAAATTAAAATCAGTCATTTATGGATATGTCCAGAACCTCTTCGGGTGTTTTGAAAGCAAGGCACAAAAATTCACTGTCTGCAATAAAACCCATCAAAAGAAATCAAGAACACACATATACAGCATATATTACCCTGTAAAGAAATAGTTTCAGATATGCTTGAATCACATATGAAATCCTCCATTATTTCAGCCCATGAAAATACAACCATGATTATTTTTAAACAACCTGGAATGAATACCATGAAAGGCCCTCTAAGTCTCTTTGGTGATAGCTACAATAAATGCCATAGGAGTTATTTCAAAAGCTGAGCCTTGTTTGTTGCTCCTGATATTTGTCTATATTTAAATATATTCATCTCCTTCAGGTAGCTGATTTTTATCATCTATTTAATCAGAAGTTTACATGGGCAAATCTAGACTTTAACCTAGTTTTTGTTAATCAACTTCAATCACAACAAACTAGTCAGCATGAACAAATTCAACTATTGTTAGAAACCCAAGGCTCACTTAGGAATCTTCATTAATAGTATTTTAACAAGTTGAGGTATGGCAACTAAGATATTTTTTAACTCCATTGTATCTTCTATCACTCCATTATGATAATCACAGAAATAAAATCTTGTAAAATTAATCTCTCCTTTCCTATAAGTGAAACTTGATTTAAAAAAATAAACCGGTGCTATTTTATTCTAAATGAAACCTTTATCTCCCACCTTCCCCCTCAATGTTTACCTCCACATCTAGCTGAGTACAGTAGCTAGGGCCAAAACTGTTTCAGTAATTCCATTAGCCTCTACTTATTACTCTATGCAGCAGGTCACTAAAGACTGCAAAAAGTATTTTCACTTTCTTTTGTTCAACAACAGTCAACCACATTTAGAGCGACAACAAAAGCAACACTCTAGCCCTGCTTTTTAGTCTTAAATTAAGAGCCAAAAGGAGGTAGCCAATAGATTCAAAGAAGAGAGAAATCAAGTGCAGCACACACTTCAGTGCCAACGTTCACTTAGGACTTCAGATGAGAACTTTTCATCATTGTAAAATACACACCTCAGCAGATTTTATTTATTTAATTAGAAACATGCTTGAACATCTATCAAGAAAAGTAGATTAGGAATGAGTATTTACATTTGTACTGAGTCTGTCCTTTAAGTTCTGTTTGACTGGGTTCAGGCTAAGCAATTCCACTGAGAAGGCGAGGGGAGCCTGCTGATGTACCCAGGTTTTGAGAGACACATTTGTATGGGACCACCTGACTTGGGCTCTACTCTTCCCAGTACTTAGCGTAAGGAGGCTTCCTCTACTCCCTTTCTCCGTTATGGAGGTGTATACTTCTCCAGAGACACCAACCCACAAAAGCACTGCAGGGAGGTGTAGCCACGAGGCGATCTGGATGGAGACTGGGCGCTGTCACCAGGCACTATCTGGACGCTCAGTGCATCCTCCCCCACCAATCAGGAGTGCGCTCCCTACCAAGACGCTGCCGGATGAAGCTCTGTGGTCCAGTGAGAACCTTCCAGCAACGGCATGGATTCTCTTTGCCTAAGAGGCTTCCTAATGGCTCTCACCATGAGGCGGTGATGCCCTTCACACTCATCCCCCAACCTCTGCTAGAGGAGCAAGCGGGAAGTTGACAGCTCGGGTTTCTGGAACGCTCTGTTCAGCTTAGCACTGACAACTTCTCACTGCACAAGTTTGTCGCCAGACCGTCTTGGGCTAGAGCCGGCATACTCGCACAAACTCTGTCAAGAGCATCACTCAATCCCGCCACTTCCCCCGCGCCACCAGCCACATGGCTCCCTGCCTCCAACAGACTCCCACCTCCTCATTCACCTTCACTCCCCGAACTGAGGCACTTGGGGTTAGGGTTCTTTCCCTGCCTTTTGGAGGAGGTTCTGCAGACACAATTCGCCTCAAATAAGAAGCAGTTGTGCTAAGCGTCAGGCATTTTGGAGTGAGGTGGAGGGCGAACAGAGCATCGTGGAAGTGCGAAGAAAAGCCAGGGATCACAGCACGCCCGAGGCGCCTTCCTTTTCCCACACCTAATTCTCACCCACGCCCGCCGGAGCAAGAAATGAATACATCAGAAACCAAATGCAATCACAGCATCTCCACACCTCACTGTAACCCCAGTCCTCCAAATGCCCGAAAGAGAGAGAGAGAGAGAGAGAGAGAGAGAGAGAGAGGGAATTTTTACCAGAGTTTTGTTCCCGTTCTTGCTGAGAGGGCCCCGGAAAACTCCCTTGATGTTGCGAAAGTGTCCGTTGCTGAGACGCGTGGAGCTGATGACAATGTAGTAACACTCCATGGGGCAGCCGCCGCCTCCTCAAGCGCAGCCGCCGCGTCCATGCACCCCGCTCCCGCAGCCGCAGCGCGCCGGGGCCGGGCAGGGCGCGCGGGGACCCGCCGGGAGGGCCCCAGACGCCGCCGCCGCCGCCGCCGCCGCCGCCGCCGCTGCTCCGCACGCCCTGAGGAGGCAGCCTCGTTACGCCCGGCGGCCGCGCGCGCCCAGGCGCCCCCGCCTCCGCATGCCCAGTCTTTCCCTCTCTTTGAGCGTGTGCGCTTCTCTTCCAATTCGCGTTGGGACGATGAGCCCCGCGGGAGCAGCCCTGGCCGGGAGGGGCGGGGGGCGGGGGTGGGACCGGCCAGGAAGACAGAGCCGAGCGCCAGTCAGCGGCGGCGCGGGAGCCGAGCGGAGCCGGGCTGCGGGAGCCGCCCGCGCGGCAGCGGCAGCAGCAGCGGCGGCGGCAGCAGCGGCAGCAGCGGCGACGGCGGCAGCAGCAGCAGCATCCCCCGCTCTCGGCGCCCGCTCTCAGAGTTGCGGCTGCTGGCAGGCATGAGTGTTATTATAGTGAGCGGCGTTGCCGGTCCATTGCACTGAGCCAATGGCAGGGAGCCACTGGGCTGATAGCGAGAGCTGTCAGAGGAGTACATCTGTCACCCGCTGCCTCCCCCCGCCCTCCCCCGCCGCCGCCGCCGCCGCCGCCGCCGCCGGGACCCGCGGCCGCGCCAGCCGGGCCGCGAGCCGGAGCGCCCCGCGCAGCGCGGCGACCGCAGAGGGCTGGGGGCGCGACGACGGCCACGGCGGGCGGGCTGCAGGGCTGCAAGGGCGGCCGCCGCCGGAGAGTGGGAGACTCCTCCAAGGTGGGGGCGGAGGGAAATGGAACAGAACGCGGTTTCTAGCCGGGCCAGTCGGTGTGGGGATGGGGGTGGGGGTGGGGTGGGGAGGGGTGATAAATAAATTAATAATTCAGTACCCAGGGCCAACCGCTTCCAACTGCAGCGAATCCAGGCAGGTGCCCACAGCGTCTCCTCTCTCGGGGACTACTCATCGGGTTTGGCTCAGTGGGTTTTATTTGTTTTTTAATGTATTTTGGGCACTGAGGATGGCATCCTGTTCAGAACCCTAGAGAGACTAGGAGAGAAAAATGCACCCCTTCCCCAGCTTACCCCTCCCCCAATACAGGGACCTTAAACCGCCCGTATGGATGATGGCTCGGGTGGAAGGGCCCGAGGCGGTGAGGGTGGGAGTGGGAAGAAGGCAAAGGCGGGGGCTCCCGGCGTGTGCGTCCCAGTCCGGGCCTTCCCCTCACCCACCTCCCTGGAGAGCATTAGTTCTTCCTAAATTGTCAAAGGGGATGCTTTGCGGCACGGAATCTGCCTAGAGCTTGCCTTGCGTTTCTCTCCGGTTCTTCTCTGGCTCTCTAGGGTGCGAGCGAATCAAAGCCTGCGCCCTGGAAGCGACCTGAATGGCAGAGCCTGCGCAGGAACGCAGGAACGGATAGGTGTGTCGCGGCAAGTAGGGAATGGGGTCTGCCGCGTTCTCTGGAGAAGGGCTGGTGGCGTGGGTTTTGGACGGGCACAGACGGTGTGTCCTCGCGCCCGCCTGCTTCTGCCTTTGTGTAAGTTTAGCTGCTCTGAAGTGGTGGAGTGAGGGCGTCCCATCAGGTAGAAACACACCATGGATCTTGCTACTGCTGTACGACTCATTAGCAGGCACTTAAAAAGATCGATAACTGGCAGTGAGGCTGGGAGATGATGCCTACGATGAATTCACTGAAGGCTTTATTTTCCTTCTGCCTGGAAAGCCTTCATTGGTTAAAGCAGATTCCAAACATCTTGATGTCCCTATGTCAAGGCACACTGCACCTTGAAATAAACCGTGGTTATTTCGTCTATTTGGGGCTTAAGATTGCAATAGACTGTCCATTTTGTTCATCCCACATATATAGGTGACCCTGCAAACCATAATGCCTTCCTTAAATGAGTCTGACAGTTTGCACTTTTTGAAAGCGGGAGGGGAGAAAACCTTCATGAGGTAGGAAGTAGTTGTATGAATAAATTGTAAATTTTGGGTGGTGGAACAGAGTGCTAGGTTCATCTATACCAAATGTTTCCACCTTTTGTGCTTAAATTCAAGTAAAGGGAAAAAAGTTGGTGTGGACTGAGCAGAGCTGATTATGAGGTGTTAAGAGTTATTTTAAAATACTTGGCTGAATTTCTCAACTATCCACTTGGGGGAGTCTGGAAGTCTTGCAAGAAAGAGAATTTAGAAAACTTCTATACTCTGTGGAACAGATCACCCAGTTGTTTGTTAAAAATCAGTATGAACACAATCCTATTAGGAAAAGAAAATTGATCTCCACTAAATATTGTATAGAAATTAAACTGATTTCTGGTTTCCGTCATTGCAGTCTTGTTTTTATTTGCATTAAGAAGGTGCATGCATTCTCTGATGATATCAATTTGGGAAGAACTGTATGATATCTATTATGTCTTTCAAAGTTCAGGAAAGTTGCAGCTACTAGGTGGGTGATAACATCTCTACCGTTCCTAACTCAAACCAAGGAAGCTCCCAAGGAAATGGAAGAAACGCCAGATGTGAAACAGAGATGATGTAGTCCTTGGTGAGTGTGTAAATCATAATGATGGGAGTCAGGTTTTTTGGTAGTGTATTTTGCTCAAAATGCTTCTGGTGAAATATTTGATTTCTGTAGCATGAGTTCAGGTCATTTTCCAGTTCAGGAAACAGCAAACACAGTTACATGAGTTGTCCTATGAAACAGTATCAACAAGTGGCAGAGTCTGTACGACTGTATGCACCCATGTGTTTGTGCATATGAACACAAGGGTATTTCAAAATGTTCAAAGGAAATGGAAAATAGAATTATATTTTAATTCTGTGTTTCATGAACTGATTGAAATATCCTTGTAAACATGTATATCATAACAATAAACATTAGTAACATTTTCTTAACAATATCCCCTAAAAAAGCGCTACTTCCAGAATAATCTATCTTTACCACTTACATTTTTGATATGATGGTAGCAAACACACTTGCATCTGCTATTCCATGAAGGATACTAATAGTTAAAAAAGAAATGAGGAGCCGGCGCCGTGGCTCACTAGGCTAATCCTCCGCCTAGCAGCGCCGGCACACCGGGTTCTAGTCCCGGTTGGGGCGCCGGATTCTGTCCCGGTTGCCCCTCTTCCAGGCCAGCTCTCTGCTGTGGCCAGGGAGTGAAGTGGAGGATGGCCCAGGTGCTTGGGCCCTGCACCCCATGGGAGACCAGGAAAAGCACCTGGCTCCTGGCTCCTGCCATCGGATCAGCGCGGTGCGCCGGCCGCAGCGCGCTGGCCGCGGCGGCCATTGGAGGGTGAACCAACGGCAAAGGAAGACCTTTCTCTCTGTCTCTCTCTCTCACTGTCCACTCTGCCTGTCAAAAAAAAAAAAAAAAAAAAGAAATGAGGAAATTTTGGAAATTTTGCAAAAAAATGTATCTTCACTGTCTTCTGTATATAAAAGAAATTAATTTCAAAATTGAGATTGAACAAAGACATATATTTCAGAAAAGACTGTTCATTTCTTTTGTGTATCCAAATTTAGTGGCCACAGCTATACTGGTCATTTAAATTAAATTACTAATCACCTGACAGGATACTCATTATCCCATTACTAATGAGCTCAGATACTAGTAGACTTTTCATCAAATCAACCTTAATGTCCAAGAGAACAGTGACCCACCACCACAGGGTGTCTGCTTCCCGACTGAACAGAATGGACATAATGGAATTCTTATTTCAAAAACATGGAAGGGACCTATAGAGTGAATTCTGCTGGAAAAAGAGAAGTAGGAAATGAATACTTTCTTATTGTCTCAGAGAAGAGGCATACCTTTCTGTGACAATATGTTAAAATGAGTAACCAGTGACAAAATATTGTGTCTTTCCATTCTGTTGCTCCCATCTTTCCTTTTGTCATGGTTTAAAGAAATTGAGCATAACCCGCATTAACCATTATTAAGTCTTTCAAAAAAAGAAATTAAGCATATAAATCAGCAGCTTTAAATTTCCTATTGTGTTACTACCTCTTGTGATATCCATGGTCGATTCCTATCACTTAAAACAATTTTGAAATCTCAAGAGTTTTGGTAATCATTTTGACAAGAATAATTTCCGTGGAATCGCATCACTCTAATTTTTAAAAATAAAAAACATATTTTTGTCAGTAATTTAGACATTAGTTTAAAGGCATTAAGTAGAGGGTGGGCATTTAGCCTAGCAGTAAAGATGCTGATTTAAACTCTTGTGTCTTACATTGGAGTACCTGGGTTCAATACCTGGTTCTGCTCCTGACTCCAACTTCCTGCTAATACAGATCCTAGGGGGCAGCGATGATGGCTCAAGTAATTGATTTTCTGCCACATTCAAGGGAGACCTGGGTTGAATTCTATGTTCCTGGCTTTGTTTCTCACCATTGTGTACATGAGAGAGTAAACTGGGAAATGGCTGCTATCCGTCTCTCTACTTCTCAAGAAATGCATTACACTAAGAAAGGCATCATTACTATAAAATATTGCAACTTGATTTTCCTACCACTTCACTTCCGTTTTGCTCCTTCCTCATTGCTGGGTGTCTTCTGCTGTGCATTGATACTCATTAACCCTTTTTGTTTCCTATCTGGCTTTGTTTAACCAAATCTGTATACTAAGTTTCTACTTGACAACTCAGCATTGTTCTTGGTGTGCTCTGGTTTACACAAAAATCTCAGCAAAATGTTGTTGCCCTGATATATAAAAAACTAGGTCTTGGCGGGGCCACGGCTCACTAGGCTAATCCTAGTTCTAGTCCGGATTCTAGTCCCGGTTGCCCCTCTCCCAGGCCAACTCTCTGCTGTGGCCAGGGAGTGCAGTGGAGGATGGCCCAGGTGCTTGGGCCCTGCACCCCATGGGAGACCAGGATAAGTACCTGGCTCCTGCCATCAGATCAGCACAGTGTGCCGGCCGCAGCACACCGGCAGTGGCAGCCATTGAAGGGTGAACCAGCAGCAAAGGAAGACCTTTCTCTCTGTCTCTCTCTCTCACTGTCCACTCTGCCTGTCAAAAAATAAAAAATAAATAAAATAAAATAAAAATAAAAAACAAGGTCTTGCCTCTTTTGCCAGACTAGTAGCTTGATCCCTGGGTCCTGAATCCATACCCAGATTCACTTAGCCCAATTCTTCCAGAATTTTCCCACTGCTAATTGAAGCCTTAAAATTTAACAATTTTTACGTGTCTTGACTTCCTAATTCCTAATCTCTGAATGCTTTTATCTCTGCTTACCAGAACAACTTTCCATCAATCAGTTGAAAGATCCACAAGTTAGACTGACTTCATGGGTCCAACAATTCAGCCTTATATGAGCTTTTGTAAGCCAAGTTTTTATTTTATGCCATCCTGGAATAAAAAAAAAAAAAAAAAAAAAAAAAACAACACATAGACTACAAATACCAGTGTTAGTCAAATATGTCTGTGAGGTAGTCTTAGTCATCCCTGAGTATATTATTTGGATTGAAATTTTTCTTTTCACTACTATAATAACCTAAAAATAAGCATATTTGAGTCATCCTCATATCCTATAACTGACTAATTTGTAAGTAAGTGGTGCCACTATATATATTTCCTTTACATTCATATTAATGATCCCACTGTTGCCAAGTATTAGTACTTGAGAAAGAATCTTGTAATTTAACCTGTAAGATATGTGTTTCCTCTCAGATGAAGCGCATGTTATCATAGCATGCTGATACAGAGATGTTGGACAGTTAAATTGGAAAAGAGTGGTGAGAGAAGATTGGTATTCTCAGGAAGTATGCATAGGAACCATAAACATCATGCATGGTGAGATTCTTATTGACATGCAAACACTCATAAACAAATTCATGTTTGAGATAGGATTTAACTTCAGCAAAGCAACATCATCTGTTACATTAAATTAGGATTGTAAATTTGGATATATTGTCTGTTGTATTTTCATTTGATTTCTATTTTTTTGTTTTATGTTTACATAAGTGCAATAAGCATATGGAGTGATATAATTAGTTTTATGTTAACATATTTAAATAAAATTATGCCATAAGTAAACTAAATATATGCTTGAGAGTCTCTTAAAAGCATCTATGTTATTCAAGTGTGAGAAACAGGCATAAACTAATCATGGGACAAATTGAACAACCTATATCGGATTTATCTACGGTTGATAATGTTACTGTATAATTTGAAGAGTAATGGAAATTTTAGAATAATTATAAAGAAATTGTTATGAAAATAATACCTATATTCTTATTTTGTATTCCAGTTCTGCCAGTTTGAAATATTGGGACTGCTAAAAACAAAGCCTAATCATTAACAAATGTAATAATCCAGTAATTTCAACATGTACCTTTGCAAAAATTCTCCACTATGAATGAAAATCCACTGAAGTAAACTATTTAGTTACTGCATATAAGATACATAGGAGTCAGAGATGTTATGAACAGAATCTTTGCAGTTCAGAATCTCTATTTGTGGGAGCACCATCTCAATACCTAACCATAAACAAAGTGTTAAAATCCAGGGACAGGTGTTGTGGCTCAGCTGGGATTCCTGCCTCAGCTTCAGATCCAGCTTCCTGCTACCACATCAGGGCAGTAGCATATGATAGCTCAAGTACTTGGGTTCCTATCATTTATGTGTAGGACCATGATAGAGCTACTGGCTTCCAGCTTTGTCCTGGCCCATCCCTGGCTGTTGTAAATCTTTAGGGAGTGAACTAGCAATTAATTGGAAGATGTCTGTCTCTCGCTCTCTCTCCCTCTCTCTCTTCCTTTCTCTCCCTATCTCTTCCTCTCCCCTTCACTGCTTTTAAAACAAACAAAAACCTTAAGATAACAAAACAAAAATATATTGGATAAATGATGATATAAACTCCATTTACTTCATTTATTTAATATTTATTTAAGAAAAATGTAAGCTTTATCCTATACTTTCAGGTTTAATTTCTCTGATTCTCTGGCAACTTACCTAAGTCAGGTGCGGATCAGGCCTGACAGAACTCAACATCAACTCAGCTCCCAACTGAGGAATGTGTGTGTCTTGAATAGCTGGTAGAAATGCAGGAATTCTGAAATGTGTAAATTAATGCAAATGTAAAAAAGAGAGAGAAATTTCACAATTTTCCAAAATTCAACCTTAAGAAGTAAATGGAAGATTTTTATATTATGCAGCATTTTCACATGTCTTAAAAGAATGATAGATAGCCTGTTGTCCTGTATAATATATTTAGCTGATATTGATATTTTGAAAGTCTTTTTTACCTCCCTACTTTTCAATTCTAATAAGTAGCCTCGGGATAAATGCCAGAACAATGCAATCTTAGGAGCCAAAGCTATACTTTTGTTATGTTGCCAAAAAAATTAATGTAATTGGATGTCCCATAACTAATTTACCAAAAGGAATAACATTAAGGTACATTATAATAAGGAAAAAAGAATGGAAAATTATTACATTACATGTTATATAACCCTTTTTAAAGGAAATCCAGTAATATCTATTAAAATTAAAATTGCATATAATTTTTGATTCAACAGTTGCATTCCTGGGACTCGATACATAGAAAAGCCAGTAGAAAAGGATATTTACAGGAACATTTAATGCAGCATTGTTCAATTGTTCATGGTTATAAAAAAGTGGAAACAAAGAAAGTGGTTGTCAAGGGACTAGTTGCGTAAATTATGATAAATTTCAGACTTTCCTACATCTGTGAAATAATAAATTATATCATACGCTTTGATTTAGCAAGATTATCTAGTTGTTTTATTATATAAGAAATATAAGATACAAAGGACAGAAGAGTATAAAATAGTAGTTTTGTATAAAACTAGAACAAGTGTATACTTTAAGAAAAGAATAAACAGGCATAAATATAGGTAAAGTTGAAATTCAAGAAAATGTATGGTTAACATGGATTTCTTGGTGTCAGATTTGAGAACCAGAAGAGGATGGTGAGGAGATAAACAAGGCTGCCATGCCTACAAGTGCAAACATATATCTGGGCAAAAACAAAATAAAGAAAAAAAGAGAAGAAGGAAGCCTTGCCTGTAGGGAGGGAAGAAGATATAAGTATCACTTTAGCTAGTATGGAAATAAATGATTATAGAAAATAACTGAAGGCATGTGGAATGTTAAGATGAGACTGAAATAGGGCTGGCATTGTGGCATAGCCCACATTGCTAGCATCTCATATGGTGCTGGTTCCGGTCAAGCTGCTCCACTTCTGATCCAGCTCCCTGCTGATGGCCTGGGAAGGGCTGCAGAGGATGACCTCAGTGTTTGGGCCCCTGTCACCTTGTGGGAGACCCAGATGGAGCTCATGGATCCTGGCTTCAACCTGGCCCAGTCCCTGCTATTGTGGCCATCTGAGGAGTGAAGCAGCAGCAGCAGAGAGAAGATATCATTTGAGTCTTCTCTCTAACTCTGACTTTGAAATAAATAAATCCTAAATAAAAAAGAAACTGAAATGGAAGCAACTGGTTCCAATGATAAGTAGAGATGGGGGAGGAAATGGGTAAATGTTTCTCTTTTCCTTTTTAAAGGTTTTTTTGCTTGTTTGTTTGAAAGGTGAAGTGACAGAGAGGGAGAGAAAGAGAGAGAGATCTTCCAATCACTGGTTCACTCCTCAGTCCCAACAGCCAGGTTTTGTACAGGCCAAAGCCAAGAGCCAAGAACTCAATCCTGGTCTCTCACATGGTTAACAGGATCCCAAGTGCTTGAGACATCTTCTGCTGCTTTCCCAGGTGCATTAGCAGGAAACTATATTGCATGCAGAGAACCCGAGACTTGATCCAGAGCTCTGATATGGGATAACAGCATTCATTGCAAGTGGAGGCTTAACCCACTGTGCCACAATTCTAGGCGCAGGCAAATGCTAAAATTTATAAGATTTACTGATAGCCTAGATGTGATGTGACAGAAATGCTAATAAAAAAGAACAGGATTTGGGCCTTGCAAATAAGAAGTTTCTAAAGCATTTTATTGAGATCTGGAAATCTGAGAAAGTAACATTTGTAAAATAGATTTTTGAAAAACAAGATTTTATAACTTTCAAACATTTAGTAGAGATCATGCAGATGGCCAGATATATTCTGGAGTCAGGATCAGATACTCACTTGGGAGCCATGGTCATATCAGTGTCATTTATAGGAATGCAGGCTGGATGAGATCACATGATAGTTCATATTATCCAGAGAGCCCAGGAGTGATCAGGGTTGACTCCAGGAACAACAGCTAAAAATAGAGCCAGAAAATGAGCTGCCCCAAAGTGTTATAAAACAAGAAAACAGGACGCTTCAGAATCCCTTGCCTCTAAAAACTTTGTTGATTTTAAGGAGAATGATCAGATGTGTGGAATGTTACTAGTATCAGAAGAAAGACCAGATCACAGGAGCAGGCGCTTCACCTGCTGGTTAGGATGCCCATACCCCACAGTGGAGGACTCTGCTTCTGACTCCAGTTTTGCCTAATGCCTGGGAAGCAGTAGATGATGACTCAAGTAATTGGGTCCCTGCCATCCACGTTGGAGACCTATATTGAGTTACCAGCTCCTGGACATTTGATGAGTGACCCCATGGATGGCCTACATACCTACCTCTCTTACTTACTCTCCAATAAATAAACAGTTTCAAAATTGAGATCAGAGAAGAAATCTCAAGTAGGTCATGACAAAGTGATCTCAGTAATATACCAATAAAGGTGTATAGAATTTATACACACACAGAGACACACACACACAAATCTCTGAAGGGAGTTAAGAAACCACACATGTGGGGCCAATGCTGTGACATAGAAAGTTAAGCTTCCACCTGCAGTGCTGCTCCACTTATGATCCGGCTCCTTGCTATTGTGCCTGGAAAGGCAGGGGAAAATGGCCCAAGTACATGTAGGCCCTTTGTACCCACGAGGGAGATCCATAAGAAGCTCCTGACCCTGGCTTTGGCCTGCCCCAGCCCTGGCCATTGAGGCCATTTGAGGAGTAATCAGCAAATCAAAGCTCACTCACTCTCCTCTCTCTGTATCTCTGCCTTTCAAATCAATCAATCAATAAATCACACTTGTATTTTATTCATTTGAGGGAACTTTTGTATTCAGTACAAATGTGACTGTATCTTTAAGAAAGATATAGGGTCCAATGTTGTGGCTCAGCAGGTTAACCACTACCCACAATGTGGACATCTGATGTCTTAGTACTGATTGGAATCTCAACTGCTGCACTTCCAATTCAACTCCCTCTCAATGAGTGAAACGATGGCCTAAGTACTTGGTCTCAAACATGGGAGACCTGGATAGAGATCCAGGCTCCTGACTTTGTGGCCCTTTATGGAGTGAATCAACAGATGGAAGATATCTTTCTATCTTCTTCTCTCTCTTGGTCACACTACCTTTCCAATAAAAATAAATCATAGAAAATTATTAAACAGAAACTGTGGCTTTGAGCCTTCCTTTCTGTGTTTCAACAGAAAAAAAGGGGGGCGGGAAACACAGACCGTCAACTCAAAAGTATCCCCTAACAACACACACACACACACACACAAACACATACACACGAACACATACACACACACATGCACTTTTAAAAGTTCATGGAAAGTGAAATTGAAAGTTTAATTTAGGGGCCGGAGCTGTGGCGTAGTGGGTAAAGCCACCGCCTATAGTGCCGGCATCCCATATGGGAGCCAGTTTGAATGTTCCACTTCTGATCCAGCTCTCTGCTGTGGTCTGGGAAAGCAATCGAAGATGGCCCAATTCCTTGGGCCCTTGCACCTGTGTGGGAGACCTGGAGGAAGCTCCTGGCTCCTGGCTTTGGATCGGCTCAGCTCCAGCCGTTTTGGCCAACTGGGGAGTGAACCAGTGGATGGGAGACCTCTCTCTCTGCCTCTCCTTCTCTCTCTGTGTAACTCTGACTTTCAAATACATAAATAAGTATTTAAAAAAAAGAAAGTTTATTTTAGTGCAATTTCCTTTTTTATAGGAAGATTTATTTATTTATTTGAAAGTCAGATTTACAGAGGGAGGGAGAGAGAGAAAGAGGCCTTCCACCTGCCAGTTCATGCCTGATCCAGGCTGAAGCCAGGAGCTCAGGTGACAAGGGCCCAACCACTTGGGCCATCTTCCTCTGCTTTTCCTGGGCCAATAGAAGGGAACTTGGTCAGAGATAGTGTAGCTGAACAGACCCAAATGGGATGCTGGCCTCCCAGGCAGTAGGTTTACCCACCATGTCACAATGCCAGCACCACAATTTTTAAGCTAGGGGATCCAAAGAACTCTACTAAGAGACTATTGGAACTCATAGAATAGTTTGGAAAAGTAGCAGGATATAAAATCAATGCACAAAAATCAACAGCCTTTGTATACACAGGCAATGCCACGGCTGAGAAAGAACTTCTAAGATCAATAGCCACAAAAAAATCAAATACCTTGGAATAAACTTAACCAAGGACATTGAAGATCTCTACGATGAGAATTACAAAATCTTAAAGAAGGAAATAGAAGAGGATACCAAAAAATGGGAAAATCTTCCATGCTCATGGATTGGAAGAATCAATATCATCAAAATGTCCATTCTCCCAAAAGCAATTTATAGATTCAATGAGATACCAATCAAGATACTGAAGACATTTTTAAAACCCCTTTTTATGAACTTTTTCATGACCGCTCATATACATGGAATTTAAATTTTACATGAAAAAATCTTATCTTTCAATTTCATTTTCCATGAACATTTTGAAGTATGCTGATTAAATATTCTCAAATTTCCCTCTTCCTCAGCATTCTCTTTATTGATAGAAGGTGTGGAACTTTCACTGAGGTTTCAAATTTATGCATGTTCATATTGACTTAGAACCAAATGGAAATAAAAAAATGCATTATATAAAATTGACAAATTGATTTATGCCTTAGTAATTTTGTACTGCTATAATTAAAAATACCATGGACTGGATGGATTAAATGGCTAAAATTTATTCCTTACAGTTCTCAGGGCTGGGAAGCCCAAGATCAATATACTAACTTACTCAGATTCTGATGAGGGCCCACTTCCTGGTTTGTAGATGGTTCTCACTTCTTGGTGTAATCTCACAAAGCAAAGAGATTATCCCTCTCTTGTCTCTTCTGATAAATGTATTTTTTTATTTTTTTAAATTTATTTGACAGGTAGAGTTATAGACAGAGAGAGAGAGAAAGAGAGAGAGAGAGAGAGAGAGAAAAGTCTTCCTTCCGTTGATTCACTCCCCAAATGGCCGCTACAGCCAGCGCTGCACCGATCCGAAGCCAGGAGCCAGGTGCTTCTCCCTGGTCTCCCATGTGGGTGCAGGGGCCCAAGCACTTGGGCCATCCTCCACTGCCCTCCCAGGCCACAGCAGAGAGCTGGACTGGAGGAGAACCCAGTGCCCATATGGGATGCCAACGCCACAATTGGAGGACTAACCAAGTGAGCCAGGGCACTGGCCCCTGATAAATGTATTAATCCTATTCCTGGGGTCTCCCCCCTCATGCATTAATTATCTCCAAAGCACACTTCCCAAAAGTACAACATTGGCCAGGAAGGGTTCAACATATGAAATTTCAGGGGACACAAACATTCAGTCTATTTTTTTTTTTTTTTTTGACAGGCAGGGTTAGACAGTGAGAGAGAGAGAGAGAGAGAGAGACAAAGAGAAAGGTCCTTCCTTCTGTTGGCTCATCCCCCAGCTGGCCTGTATGGTCAGTGCGTTGCGGCCGGCGTGCTGCACTGATCCGAAGCCAGGAGCCAGGTGCCTCCTCCTGGTCTCCCATGCGGGTGTAGAGACCCAGAAATTGGGCCATCCTCCACTGCTTTCCTGGGCCACAGCAGAGAGCTGGATTGGAAGAGGAGCAACTAGGACAGAATCTGGTACCCCAACTGGCACTAGAACCTGGGGTGCCAGCGCTGTAAGGCGGAAGATTAGCCAAGTGAGCCGCGGTGCCGGCCTCTATTGTTTATAAATAAAAATATTTTTCAACTCTAATGAGGTAATATGAATTGGATACCTCATAATATTGGAATTGGAATATTTAGTAGTATAATACACATGAAAATAAATTTTGAAATATGTTTCATGAATTTCTCCCATTCTCCATTCACATGATTTTCACTTGTCACATCCATGACTTTCACTTGTCTCATCTCCCAGTTGCCTACCAAAATTGATTTATCAATTGCATGTCCCTGAACCAAGGAAACCCAAGAGACACATGACAAGCTTTAGATTGGGCCAATTAATAATGTTTTGTGTGTCTGGACTGTAAGCTGTTCAGGAAGAATTTACAGACATTAGAGAATGAAGGAGGTTATGGTGGGAAATATCATTATGCTCTTAAAACTGTTTATGTGAAATACATGAAATTTGTTCCCCATATATAATATGAAATTATAAGAAAAGGATTTATTCCTATAATGCACCTTCTGCTCAATAGATCAAGAAAGGAGAATGTTTCTAACAACCTATATTTAATATCTATATATTTTTGCATGTTCTTTTTTGTGACAAATCTAAACCTTTATAATAAAATTAACCATTTAAGATAAGTTCCTATGAACTGGATTTAGTTACTGATTGAATCTTTGACATTCAATTTTTAAGCTCATTCATGAAGATTCTAAATTTTAGTTATAAATATTAAGGAAAAAATTAGATTCATTTTCTAATTAAATATGTTAGAAAAATAATAAATGATGTAAATTCTAAACAATGGAAAAGTGGTGAAACAATATATATAATACAAAAGATAATCATTGCAAATAATCTATTTAATATGATATTTGATATGAAATTAAATAAACATACTGCATAAAATGTATAATAAAATGTAACACTGTTGAGGAGATGAATTTGGGAAGGTGAACTATCAAGTTCCCATGCCTTTTTGTGCTTGCCACTAGATCTCTGTGCCCCCATATCTCTGTGGATGGTAAGTGACGTCATGGTAACTGACAGGTCCACTTGCTTGGCGAGCTGCCCACAACTCTATCATGGTTTAGATTGATCAACTTTGTCTGTTAACTCATATAAGCAACTGGGCTGGGATGGGAGGGTTAGGTGTGGTTGCCTGCTAATGGATGCAGACACATATGTGGTTGCCTGTGTATGGATGTGGACACGTATGTGGTTGTCTATATATCCATGTATGTAGATGTCTCTGTGTTTGTCCGGCTGCCATTATGGACACAAAAGCAGATATGTTCTGTGGCTCCACCACAGAGGCAAATGGCTGCATCTTGTGCATTTCTCACTACCACTGTGAGTAAAGCAGATATAAATCCACAAATGGCTCCAAGTTGTCTTCTGACCTGTTGGAATCTGGATCTGCTTGTTCTGGGCCCTAAACCCTGGGCATACGAACACAGCATTTTAATAGTATGAGAAAATTATCATGAAGATAATGTTACAAAAGTGGCTGGATATTCTGAGTAGACATTTAGCCTAGCAGTTAAGATACCTACATCTGACTTTGGAGTACTTGAGTACAATTCCTGACCCTGGAGCCTGACTTCAGCTTTTTGCCTCTCTAAGGCACAGTACTGATGGCTCAGTAATTAGATTCCTGCTACCCACATGTGAGATCCAGATTAAGTTCCGAGGTCTCAGCTTTGATCCCAGCCCAGTCTTAGCCAATGCTTATGTTTGGGGAGTGAACTAAGGGATGGGATCACACAGAAAGAAAGGGGGAAAAAAAGACACTAAGGTATTATAACAAAGGGTGAACACATAAACTCAATAATAAAAGTGTGATTATTTCTAAAATGTTTTTGCATATATTCATATTGTATGTGACAACTTCTCTTTGCATAAATAAAATAATTTTCATAAACTATTAAATTTTAGGAAAATCACAAATTGATTAGAGCTAACAAAAGTAAATATGGGACAATGATAAAGGATGGAAAAACAGGATAATGAAAATAGTATACGTTATCACAATGAGAATGATTCAAATTATATTATAAAACAGGAAAGTTATTTGGGATAAAAAATCTAACAAGGAATATGCCTAAATCTAAAATGATAGAAAAGAAGAAATTGAATTAGGAGGGTCAAGATATTGTAATTAAGTACAAACAGAAAGAAAACCATACTATCTATATTGATACCAAATTGAAATAGAATTTAACACCAAAAACACTGAAGAGGATGATTAACAAAGAAAATATAAAATATATGAACTTTATGGATCAAAAGAATATAAAAAGCAAAATGCTTAAAGCCAGAAGTTTTGGGAAAATTAAGCAAATGTAGGATACAACAATTCGGAAAAGAAATATGTTTATTGCAGCTCAATTCACAATAGCTAAGACATGGAGTCATCCTAAATGCCCAACAGTGGAAGACTGGATAAAGAAATTATGAGATGTTGTTAATTCCTTACTTATCAGACTGATAACACATGTTGCTTGTTCAAGTTTAGTTGTAATATAAATTGTTATAACTATCTGAAGGATAAGTTGATTTTGTTTGTGAATTTTTTTTAAAAAAGGCACCTATCCTATGACTCAGCAATTGCACTTCTTACAAACTGTTACCTTGAAATAATATCATGTAGAGAGAAAACTATTAGCATAAGGGTATTCACTGCTGAGTTTTTATAATGCCAAAAGTTTGAAAACTACCAATATATTCGTTAAAGGAAAGTAACTAGTGGAAATTAATGTAAACTAATGAAATAGTTCATCAGGGTATATTAAGAAGGATTTTCATCTAAGAATACTGAGACCTAATATGAGAATAGTGTGGTATCATTTTGGCATAAGTAAATTAGCACACTTGCTTTTTAACAGATAAAATATGGCTATTACAAAGACAGAAAAACCGGATATACAACAATTAAAAGAGGTTAATACTGTCAACTTTAAGTTTCATGGTTTGAGGACCAGGAGCAGAGAGATTGTGTGAAGGGGTCTTAATTTCTTAAATGAAAATATTTTTTAATGATTTTAAGTAGAGATTGTTATACTATATCTGCTTTTTAAAATAATTTTAAAAGGAATTAATAAATATTTATGGATATTTAAATTAGTCTATTGAGCATACATTGGATGAATTTAACAAACAGAATTATTTAAACTATTTCTCTGTGTTCTTTTTCCATTTCCCAATGACAATGAAAGCAACTTCAGGGTAGCAACTTTGGTCAGTTTGTTCAACTTTGCATCCATGGGACCTTGAAGAGTACCTGTAACTTAAAATGTGCTCAGTAATTATTGTAGACTGACTGAGTTTCAGGATTTAAAGAAATTAGGGCAAGTATTTGGAAATGTAAATGCATTATAACAATGCTTTCCCCATGATTAACATGAAATTGTTTCCCCAATGTGTCAGATAGAATGTATACCAAATTCTTTAAAAATACCTCCAAAACAATAAGAGTGTAGTCAAAATAGATTGTTTCGCTCATCCGTGGTAGTCAAGGTGTATGCTGTTGAGGCTGAGTGGTGTCTGATTCAGGAATAGTTATTCTAATTACATATATATACTTAAGATATTGCATTTTTTGGGGGGGTGATAAGTTTGGATGACTTACAAAAAAAATTGATCATGATAATTTTACCAAAAGGACAGAATATAAAGTTAAACAACTGGAGAAAAGACATGCCATTAGTGTATGAAAGGGTCATGACCTCAGGCAGAAGACAGTTTCTTTCAATATTGATCCTTTTTTCTTTTGTTAATCCTGAATTCCATTAGGATCATAACCAAACAATTTCCCAAGCATTTTATTTACCTTTGAGTGGCTATATGATAAAATTATGGATAATTAAATAAGAGTAAACAAGTGACTTACACAATTTCAGATTTATTCTCTTAAATGAAAGGGAAATACCTTCTGATTGCCAGTATCATCTATGAATTGGTTGAAATAAGTGCATTGGGATGGACCTTCAGGCAGCCAGCCATCTTAGGTTACACAATGGACGCTGTATATCAGACAAGGCAAGACACGAAGATAGAATGTAATGAGAAAGCCATTATAAGGGTATTGCTAAGTAGTATAATATCAAGTCAAAACACTAATATATATATTGTTTTAAAATTCAATAGCAAAATACCTGTCACATAGGGACGGCTATACAAAACTTTCATTTTATTAAAATATAAGGACATGGATCATAGTAAGAAAACAGAATATTAAATAATGAGGACAATAATTCCTTGAGGAAGTATATAAGTGGTCCAATAAAAACTAAATGAAAACAAATAAATACAACTTTTGTGATCACTGCCCCCCACAAAATTAAGAGAATACAAAGAACACAAAAGAAACTGTAGCATTTTTATGTACTGACTTTATTTTATTATTTATCCATTCCCCCAGCTAGAAGTACAGTTATACATTTCATTAAGCCATTCTTTGCAGAATTTATTTTCTCTGACCAGTTGGGAGAAAAAACAAACTCACATGAAGAAAGAAAGTTATTGCTTTTCAAAATGATTAAGGAAATGTTTTATATTTCATTTTCCTTTTAAGTTGTTATTCTGTTTCATTTTAGATTTTATGTGTAAATGTAAGATAGTGTGTAAATTCAGTTGGTGGTACCAACCTAAATAGCAGTATGACAATAGCGTGTCAAGCACTCTATATAAGAATCAGAAACCAAATTAAGATTGATTTTAATTAATTTTATTAACAGATTATACTTTAGAAAAATGTTAGACATAAAAATATAGAAAAAGTGGTTTCCATACCTCCTTTTCCTCTATGTCTAGTTTCCCCTATTATTAGTATCTGGCAGTATGTAACCTCTGTTACAACTGATGAATGGACTTTCATTAGCTGAAGTATATAGTTTATGTTTGAGTTCACTTTGTATTTTACAGTTCCATGTGTTTTGATAAAAGTTATGTCACGCATACATCATAGTGTATTACAGAATATAATTTCACTGCCCTACACATTTGCTCTTTCTCATCTAGGCATCTCTTCTTCCCTACTCCAATCCCCTGAGAACAACTGTATTTTTACTTTCTTTAAAGTTTTGCCTTCTTAGAAGGTCATGTAGTTGGAATCATTCAAAGGTACTCTTTTCAGACAGGCTTTTTTCACTGAGAATATGAATTGTAGGTTCCTCTTTATCTTTTCATGACTATAACTCTATTTTTACTACTGAACAATATGCCATTACTTCAATGTACAGTAATGTCTTTATCCATTCCCTCGTTGAAGGCTATTTTGGTTGCCTCCCATTTTTGACAATTATGAATGAAGTTTCTATAAACATCCATGTGCAGATTTTTGTGTGAGCATAATTTTTCGACTCCTTTGGGTAAATACATAAGAATTAAATCGCTTGATCATATGGTAAGACTATGTTTAGCTTTATAAGAAACTGCCAAGCTGTCTTCCAAAATGACTGTACCATTTTGTAAATCTACCAGAAATGCTCCTGTTGTTCACATCCTTGCTAGAGTCTTTTGCTGTTATTGTTTTGCATATTAGCCATTCTATGGGGTGTGGAAAGGTATATCTATCTCATTTTGATTTGCAGTTAACCTAATAGCATATTATATTAAATGTCTTTTCGGATATTTATTTACTAAGTGTATATCTTAGTTGATGCAGTGTGCAGACATTATTGTTATTTGAACTCCTAATTCAATTAACAGAAACTAATTTTCTAGTCCTTAAGTTGTTGTTTTCTTTTTCACCTTATCTCAGTGTAAACTCTGAAGTTTAGAGTCTTCTTTTGCATCGATCTCATCAGATTTTTTTTGTTCTAAATATCAAACAAAAATTGTTGCAAAATCACCTGCCTAAAATCCAAGTGAAACAAAGGAGAATTCTTTGGAGTTAAAACATCTCTACAATAATCAGTTCCTTTATAGCGAATTCTACATAGTCAATTCCTATACAGTGAATTCCTACAATTTCCCTCCAAATCAGGAATAGTTTGTTATAAAACTGTTTCAAGAGTATAGTCATCTGTCATGTTCTAATAGGAATATTTCTATCGTTAGTATATATATATATATAAATTACATGTACAGATAAATATATTTATATAAAACATCTTGTTGAAATTATATAATGGTATAAATAAAGAATTTATCATGTTATCTCTTAATTATAACATATATTTAATGATATATCTTTTTAAGTGTTTCACATACATGCTACTAATCTCATTTATTTGGCTAATAACTTTAAACTTTATTAAATAAAGAAAGTTTGGTAGAAAAGTTTAACATTACTTTTTTGGTAATTGAGAATGTTGTTCATTGTAGAATAAATTGTAATTACCATAATAGGAAATCAGATCTATATTGCATTTTCCAAGCCATAGCTAATAATCTATCCATATATAACACTTGTAGCTACTGAAGACAGTTATCATTTTAAAAAGTGCTTCATCAACAAAATGGTTAGATTAAAATGTAGTCATGTAAATCCCTGGACTGTTCTCTGTATTTTATTGAGATTTTTATGAAAAATATGTGGATATAGATCTATTTGGCAGGTGTTATGGTATAATAGTTTTCCATCAGTGGATCTGATGCTGCATAATGGACTGGGCTAACATCTATCATGAGCAGTCAAACAGTTACATTGTACAGCCCTGACAACCTCTAAAAATAGAATTTGAAAACTCACTATTCTTCCATTCTGTGTTGAAACTAAAATATAAGAAAACACGTATAATCAACTATGATACTCTTTCAAATACCCAGATTGAAAAATAATAACAAAGTAAGGTTTGAGTCTCAATTTAAGCCACAATTAAATAATCCAGATCACAGAGTCAGATTTAATATGGACATCAAACATTGTGAAACTAGTTCAGGAACTCAATTTGGGACTCTGAAGTTATGAACAACTTTAAGTATATAGGTACACGAGTATAAATACAAACACTTTTACAGTTATTGACCTAAGAAATAGTGTTGTGGTTCACAGCTCATGAAATGAGACACTGAATGGAGTGATAGCCAAGAAGACGATGCATTCGGATCAGCAGGCATACAGAAAATAGGAGTTGTGGCTAGCAAGAGAATAGGACCAGGGAAAGCAGGGGATTCTTGGAGACTACTTCTGTCCTTAACTCTCAGTGCAGTACTTGTTCAAGCACCCTGCCCTTTCAGCGCTATCAGGCAGCAGCAGGGATATTAGTGGTTATTGAAGTAAACAGGCAATGGAAAAGCAATTGAGATAAAAGGCAAGCAACGTCCATTCATCAGTGGTTGGAGAGTTGAATCTGAAAGAGTGAACTGAAGTTACTCATGCTACATTAAGCAGCAGCAGTTGAACTTGAAAAGAATCACTATTCATAAAAATACATACATGTACCTGGAAATTTTTAGAAATAAATAGAATTGTGAAACCTATGAAATATTTGGATGCTTATTAACAAGTAGAAGGTGTCCCGATCATTACTTAGTCAGAAATTAAAATATTACTTCCCTATGCTCATGCGGATACTTAAGAATTATATATCATAGAGGATTCTCCTCTCTATGCACTATTTAGTTTAATATATTTTCTCCAATACATGTATTTGTACTTGACCACAATTAATCATCATAGAAGAACACACACACATCCAAAGTAAGAAATTATTCCAAAAAAAAAAAAAACGAACATACATTTAGAATAGTTTGTCTTAATAACATAAATTCACACTTTAAAAATCTATGATACAAGGGCTGGTGCTATGGCAGGATGGGTAAAAGCTGCTGCCTGCAGTGTTGGCATCCCATATGGGTGGACAGTTCGAGTCTCAGCTGCTCCACTTATGATCCAGCTCTCTGCTATGGCCTGGGAAAGCAGTAGAAGATGGCCCATGTCCTTTGGCCTCTGTACCCGCGTAGGAGACCCAGAAGAAGCTCCTGGCTCTTGACTTCAGATCAGCACAGCTCCGGCCATTGGAACACCTCTCTTTCTCTCTGCCTCTTCCTCTCTGTAACTCTGCCTTTCAAATAAATGATCTTTAAAAAATAAATTAAAAAAGTTAAAAAAAGAAGAGCCAGCACTAAAATTCTTAAATAAATATAATACAAAGCCTTTGGTTAGTATTTAATCAAGTGGTTAGTTAACTGCATTTGAACCTTTCTTTTCTACCACATAAAAATGAGAATCTATATGTTTTACATTTATTCTACTAACAGAATAATATATTAGACAATTTCCATATTAAAATAAAATATGACTGAATTTATCTGAAAAGGGCACATCAAGACCTAACCCACAAATTACAATCAATATGATGTAAAAATATGATGTCCTTTTACAATCTGTAGAGAAATTAATTATACATATGACATCACATTTTATTCACTAAAAGTTGAAGTGCCATTAAAATATAATGATAAAGAAAAGCAAATCATAGTAGCTATAGAGATCAACTTATTTAATTGAAATTGTAATACTTTATACTATAAGCATTAATTTGGATAGTTTCAGCTTGGTAATGATTTTACATGACTAGTAGTGGCAAGGCAAGTTTATTGCATTGTCTCAGTTTCAAATTTCCTGTTATAAATGCTCTCCTGCCTTTCCTAATGGAAAACATCTTAGTAATTGCATTATTGGAAATAATGTGCTTAATTGTGCAACCAGTGTACAAAAATAAAATTACATGTTCACAACAAGTAATGAGTAAGAACAAGATTAGACAGGTCAGAGGATACAAAGGCTGGATGGGTATGTAGCCAAGGGGAAGTCATTCTATGGAGTATCTCAGATAAAAGAGGTCTGTGGATTTGAGATCAAAGTGTTAGATCCAGAAAATGCAGAAAATTTGATTATCTACAAATATTAAGAGGGCATGGTAGTTTGGCGCTTGAGCCAAGAACTACAAATACATCAATATAGAAGAACAGATAGGTTCTGTTACATTCAATTGGGTGAATGCAGACCAAAATTCAATAATAGGATGGGGGGAGAAAATAGAGGGAAGAGACAAAGAATAAAGGAGAAAATGTG